ATTACAATAATCTATTTCCTGCGGACGATAAAAGGGGTCATTCATCTTATTGCTCTCTGGAGAGAGAAATTATCTGCACTTTTCTTTACTTTAAAGGTGAAAGAAACTAGTTTGGACAAACCTCTAATGCACTATCCGAATGTAATACACACATTTATAGTGGAGTAAAGTAATGACCCATTCCGTCAGTAGCTAATAATAATAATAATAATAATAATAAAGTGAATTGATTAAATAAGCCAATATTAATATCAACCCATGTTCAGGCCTCAGGTAGTGGTGAAATGCCTCCCATCATGTAGACTTTTCATTCAGTGTAATTAGAGCTGTTGTATGCCACATTAGAGACTTTGGTGACAAATGACTTAATGAGCTCCACACAGGAGTCCTAATTATTCTGCAATTACAAATGTAATTATAGGTTGCTCAAATAGTTTGCTTGCTAGTTGGCTAGCAGTGTGAGGGAACAGAGACAGAGTGAGTATCACATCTAACCACCAGCTAATCTGTCACACATGGAAGGGTAGGCAGGCCTCCTGTCACAGCCCCGGTATTTACAGTGAATTCTGTGTTTTTCTGTCAATATGGGGTGCTGTGTGTACATTAATGAGGAAAAAATGAACTTAAATGATTTTAGCATATGGCTGCAATATAACAAAGAGTGAAAAATTTAAGGGGGTCTGAATACTTTCCGTACCCACTGTATATTTGTGAGCTGAACTGCACTGAGTTAGGCCTGTAATCCATCAATTTAAACACAACCTGGATTTAAAAAGAACAAAATACCTACCCCAAAACAACAACAACAAAAAAACAAGCCCAACTACACTCAGTGAATCTACTGCTATCCAGATCTGTGGAGCGGGAACTGATAAGTCATGATCAAGAAACCAGCAGCAGAGGTGCTATGACAGTCAGTGACTGTCAGCCAATCAAATGACTGATAATGGATTTTATTTTTGATGAAAATAATTATGTAATTAAAGTTAAAGATACAGTTCTGGGTCTGTTATTTACATTTAGTCAGTTTTATTGTCTTTAAAGCAGTTGCTAATGTCTAAAGGAATTCACCCAAGCAAATATTAGCAGACCATTCATCAATTCTTTTCATTTGCATTATTTCTCTATGCTTGCCTGTAGGCAATTTCCACATTTTGCGTGTTCAGCGAACTGCTGTGCATTGACTAGAACTCATGCTACCCTTTAATATATTGGAATTTGATGAATATAAACAGCTTGCACCATGTTGACATTTACCTTGCTCACCAATGGTGGCGATGAACCAGAGCAACACCAGCCTCCTCAACTGTGATATTTCTGCTTAAGGTGACATCAAAGTTTCCAGACTGTTAAAGGAAAACATGTCAAAGGCTGTAATTAGACAAGGATGCTGATCAGACTGAAAGCACCAGTCTTCCATGTGGAAGTACTGGTATGAATGTTTGTTATGGCTGTGTTCTTTGTTTTTCGTGATGCTTGTATTTTTAATGGATTTTTAAATCTTCTAACAAAGATATTGATGAGTTGGTACCGCAGATGGCTGCCTTGGTTCTGTTCCGGAAACAAATTCCTTGTGTGTGTAACATACTTGGCCAAATAAAGGTGATTATTATCCATTAAACACAAAGTCAGTACCTGTTTTTGATCTTTTTTCATTAGGACATTTTCTAGTTTTAGGTTGGACATTCACACAGATTTGGTCCAGACTAGCCAAGGTCAGGGGAATGTTGTACTGTTTGTTTCTGTATTGATTCTGGAGAGATCATAATTCTTATTTTCAGCAGTAGAACCAGACTAGGATCAGGTGCACAACAGTGACCTTGGAGCTGATATCGTTTCAGTGCCTTGCATAAGGGTATTGCCAGACAGAGACACAGTGTCACAGTGCCCAATGGTACTCATGATACCACCATACATGGTGGCCAGTATAAACCTTAATGCTTTATTTCCCTCATGATATTATGAGAACAGTCCTGGCTCACAGGAAATGAGCAGCAACATAAGTGAGCATATTGTTCATAGTTTCAGGATGAGTGCATGAGTTTCAGGATGTGCTCACAGGCAGCGCTGGGACACATTCACTACCAGTCCTATGTTGTTGAAATGTGGCGCACACACTAGGAATGACAGATGACAGTTAGGAGGGTAATGTCCCACTAACCCGACTCTAAGCACCGGATGACCTGACAGCTCGGCTGCCTTACTCTCCCTTTAACTGCTCCAAAGCCCAGCCCTTTTTTAAACTGGTGTCCAAATCACGCTACAGAGTTTAGATGCACTGTGAGCAGTCCAACGCAATGCCTGTACATGATATTCCTCTCAAAAAAGATTCATGAACCAGATTACAAATTTAGAGGCAGTAAACTTAAAAATCTGAAAATAACCATTCAACATTTTGCAAAATAAACATTTGATTTCTTGCTGAAAATTTGATTAAAAGATTAATATCATTCACTTGTTTGTAATGGTAAATATGCCACAGCCAGCAGTCAGTTTACAGTATTTTAGCAAAGCTATTTCCCCCTGTTTTTAGTCTTTATGCTAAATTAAGTTAACCATATAATGGCTCTATAGCCATGTATTTAGCTGTTCACATGAGAGCAGTATTGATCTTCTCATCTAGCTCTCAGCAAGAAAAAGAGAAATGCATTTCCCAAAACCCATAACTGTTCTTTTAAGACTGTAATCTTTTGGATTCCAAAAATCATTGTGGGCTAAGTTCAACCTAATTTGAATGATCATGCTTTTATATTCTTTAATTACATCTTCTGCAAGTGAGAAGCAGCACAAATGAATCTCAACCAACAGATTTGGGATCAAACTTTTAATTAGACTTATATTCACATAAATAACAGCTCATATATATATTTTGTATATTATACAACTTTATATAATATATATTTCCCCTTGTGATTTACATTCCTCTCTGGCTAAAATGATCTGTTATATCTACAGAAACAAAGTTGCATCAAAGCAACACTGCTCTTTTTGTGCTGTTTATCAAGGTTCAAATGCCAGAAGGAGAGGAACATATTTCTCTTGAGTAGTAAAAAAAAAAGATTTCCCAAACAGAAAAGCAAAGAGGAGAATCTATTGCATTGTCTCTATGGTATTACACTGCACTACAAGGAGTGGGTAGCTATTGAAAATCATTCACCATATATATTTTACTGTACTGACTTGTGACACAAAGAAAGAAAGACAACTGCAACCGATCTGATATGCATGGCAATGAACATTTTGTGTGTGTTCTTGTCATACTTTTTTTAATGGAGAAAAGAGAAAATATGCTTGAGATAAGAAACCCTATCATGAAGATAAGGAAAAAGTTTAGAACCTGCAATAAGGTTAGATAATCATGCAGTACACTTGTGCAGATGAGTTGAACTTGTCGCTCCAGATCACAAATCAACACAACTGACATTATTTGACAAAATGGGCGGCTAACATTCACTAAGATACCTAGGAGATAGAAATAAACCCCCTCTCATACTGGAGTGCCCACTGTGTTATCTTTGTCCAGTGGATTATCTCTGTTGCCAGTAGCACCCAGGCAATCAATAACGCAATCAAATAATCATGACATATGCATCACACAGCTGCCCTAAATGAACACTGCAGGTTGAAAGGTACACTGGGAGGCCATGATATTCATCATAAAGGTTACTAGTAAATTATCAAAATCAGTGTTTGTAGGGTATGTCAAGCAGCTCATAGCCTGTCAAGACAGATGTTACATGACGTTCAACATTAACATGCCTGGTGATGTGTAACGAGAGTGAAAACGACCACAAAGTGACACGTTTTTCATGTCAAACCTATCAAGACAGCATGTAAATCATAAGCTTTTTTCAACATTAACCTCAAATGTCACCTTATCAAAACTGCTCCCTATTCTTCCTGCTACACAACCTCTTAATTCTGCATAAGCTATAAAACATATTTGATTGTCTGAATTAGTGCTGATACCTGAATATCAAACCATAGAAACTGTCACTCACACTATTATTACAAATCAAAATAAAAAGCAAACAATGAATCTTCTGTAGTGTTATTTAAATAGTGATGGGTGACATAAAGAGGTCAAGTCTGTTGTAAGCGAACGCTCAGGCGACTCAGTATCTGAAGAAACAAAATTTGGTGAACTCGAAAAAGCTACTTAAATTACCCAGTGAACTGCTGTGGGATCCTAAAACGTATCATGCATTTATCAACAAGGCCAACCTAAGTGAAACATGACGATCGTTGGTGTATGTGTGTGTACAGTACGTGCATGTGTGTGTTAACATGTCACAGAGGAAAACACAATCATGCCATGACATTGCG